CAGCATGAAATTGTTTGAGTTGAAAAAACCGTACAAACCAAATCGCATTCACCCCTACTAGTTTCATTTAAACAATCACAAAACAAGCCGAATATTCTCATTGCCACGTGGCGACGAGACCATCTCCACGTATACAAATATCGCTAGAGAACGGAATACAATTGAATATAATCACTATGTTGGGTATCAAATAAGTTACAAGTACAAATTCACATATCAACTCTAAGTTAAGCCCCTGTTTGGTGGCCACTATTTCCCAAAAAAAAAAAAAGGCTTTGAATGATATTTTTTAGAAGAATGTGTGGTTAAAAAATAGTGAAAAACTTTAGGTTTACATGCAAAATATTCTATTATGTGAATGTATTATTGAAAATAAGTATATGGAAAATATTTTTTAATGTATGGTTGTCAAATAGGGGCTAAGTATGTGACTGTTTGAGTATGTTTTTAAAATCCCTATTCTATCTCATTTGTTTCTTTGTCTCCCACAAAGAATTTGGTGGTTCATTGCTACTAGAGCTAGCGATGGCTAGCGGTGGTTAGGGCTGTAAATGGATTGTATTTTGATCTAAATTCGATCCAAATTCGATAAAATTAATAGGAGATTGATTTATCATCTCAGTCCGATAACCCGATCAAGATCTGAATATGATAATCCGTTAATTAAATAATACAAATATGGATATAGGTCAATCTCATACGATAACAATCCGATTCAATTTGTTTCAAATAATTGAATCGATAAAATATTTTTTTGGCATATTATTTGTCACTAAAATAAATAAATTTAGAATAAAAAAGTCATCAAATTCAATACATAAAAAATTGAGAAATTTATAATTATTAAACCCGTTTAAGAATTGGAAAAAAAGTTGATTCTAACATTGATTTTTTTTTCTAATTTCTTTAATTTCGGATCGAATTATCGGAGTTGATATCCAATAACAAAGCAAAACGGATATAGATTTAAAAATCAAATATTCCTTGAATTATCGAATCGGATCGACTATAGGCAAATTCGATCCATATCCGACCTATTTACAACCCTAGCGGTGGTGGAATCAAAGAAAACTATGAACAAGTTGTTTTTTGTGGAAATTTAAATTTTATAAGTCCCATAGCCGTTTAAATTTCTTTATGGTTTTTTCATGAGAATTGGAGTTCTTATTACTTATTAATCTTATTTGTGTTCCAAGTATTATTAAAGTTTATTTTCTGTTACGAAGAGTTTATCTTTAACACTTTTAAGAAGAATGTTTAAGTGACATGTGTTTAAAAAGAGTAAAAGTTGAAAATATTAATTGAAAAGAAGCGATGGTGACGGTTTCGAAGTCGCTACTAACGGAGGCAAATTCGTCAAGATTTAAGGACAATAATTTCATCAAGGTTAGAGTCACTAATAATTAATATACATTGAACAGTTTTGATCTTCACTCAACGAGATAAAAAAATTTCACTACTGATGTGACTAACTTACGTGGGAGCCTTCTACAAAGTGGTATAGTGCAGATAAACAAGCTCAGGTGCATCAGTCAAACCACAAGGGCCATTAAAGACCCAACTCTTCCTTTGCTTACTTGAAACAGCAAAAATAAGTAGCTTACCACCTTGTTTGGCTCCCATTAAATTCCATTAAATTACATTAAATTTCTATATCTCTTTATTACAACCACACATTCATCAAATAAAGTAATATTACACACAAATCTAAAAAATTTTACTACTTTTCCACCACACATTCTCCCATCAATCACTATTTCAAAAATTTCCAACCATAAAAAATGCACAATAATGGAGGCCAAACATGGGCTATTTCTACTACAAACTCCCGCTTTTCTATCTTTTCACACTCCTCATGCGTCACTGCATGACTCTCTCTCAAAAATCACGCACATGCAGACCATTCACCATTGTATGTATCTACGTACGTACGTACGTATGTATGTATGTACACCTCACTATAGGTGAGCCCACAGTTGAAGGAAGAAATATATTGAACTCAATATGGAAGAAAGAACTTTTGAAAGGAAACTTAATTTCTAGGGTTCTGGACAGCTCAACACTGTTAAACAGGGATTTTTTTTCGAGATAAGCCAATTATTGATTGTTTTAACTGCGTGATCTTCTATTACATGAAGGACGAAAGCCTTTGTTGATGTGATCCTCTGCATCCGTAACATTATGCTAATTTTTGTTGTAGCTCATTAATGAAGCAACCGTCTATTATTGTGATTAATGTGGTTTGATTTATCAAGTTTTTAGGAGTGTCATTTTATTTATTTGGCGGGATTTTAATTTTATTTGTAAAGCTGTTGTGGGGGAAAGGGTAGAAATAGAAGTGGTGTAAATTAGGGAAAATATGTTGGATTTTGTAACCCAAATTAAGTTGGAATTTTTGGGAATATATTTTTTCTTTTTTGCACGTATTTGAAAAAATATTATTTCATTTTTTTTTCACGTGTTTTATTGAAAAAATAGAGAGAAAATATTATTTCATTTATTTCACGTGATTTTTTTATCTTATTTCCATCTTGGGTTTAGATATCTTCCCTATAAATAGTAAACTCTTCATTCAGTTTTTGAGAGCAGAAATTGCTGAAATTGTATTTTCTCTCCATTCTTTACTTTAAATCTTGTTCTTGTTTGGTGAACGATCAATACTTCATATTACTCTATTAATCTCCTCCGATTTTTCACAACACGTGTGTTTAAAAGATCCCAATAAGTGGTATCAGAGCTACAAGTTGTTGAATTTATTTGAGATTTATAGTTTCGATGGTTGTCATGAAGTATGACATTCCGCTTTTAAATAGCAATGCAAGGTTTTCTATGTGGCAACTACAGATGAAAGCAATTCTGGTGGGGATGGATTTGGATGACGCTCTGTTGAGTTTTGATAAAATGCCAACAACTTGGACAATAGAGGAGAAGCAACCGAAGGATCAGAAGGCGCTGTCTATGATTCATCTTCATCTTTCTAACAACATTCTTCAGGATGTGGTTAAGGAAAAATCAGCTGCTGCATTGTGGTTAAAACTGGAGCAACTGTGAGACGAAGACATTGACGAGTAAGTTGCATATGAAGCAGATGATTTATTCTCATCACATGACAGAAGAGAGTTCTTTGGAGGACAATCTGGCCGTGTTCAAGGAAATCATCCCCGATCTGGAAATGTTAGAAGTCAAGTATGATGAAGATGATCTGGCCTTGATCCTGTTGTGCTCACTGCTCCCTTTGTATTCGTCGTTCAGGGACACGATCTTGTATAGTCATAACACACTCACCGTTGACGATGCTTATGACACTTTATTTTCAAAGGAGAGATGATGCATATCGTTGGAGCTAAGGCCTAAGAATGAGGGGCTCTGGTTTCGTACGGTGATAGATGGAGGGGGTAGGTCGAGAGGGTGAACTTCATCAATCAAGTTTGCTTCTACTGCAAGAAAAAAGGACACATCAAGAAGGATTGCGACAAGTTGCATGATAAATGTAATTTATCTGCATATCATGGGAGGTAATTTGATCATTCGGACGAGAGATTTTCGGTTGGCGAAGATGTGGTGTTGACCGTATCTGTTATGGAATCTAAGCCGGATGAGGATTGGATTCTGGATTCAGCGACTCAGCGTGTTCGTTCCATATGTGGCCTGATTTGAAACATATTTAACGGTAAAGCAATGTGGAATTGTCATGGGAAACAACCAATCTTGTAGGGTTGCTGGAATCGGTCGGGTCAGATTGAGGTTATTGGATGGGCCAGTTCGAGTTCTTGGCCAGGTTCAACATGTTCTAGACTTAAAGAAGAATCTCATCTCGCTGAGTACCCTGAATTCTAATGGGATTACATTCTTCGGTGGAGGTGGAGTCTTGAAAGTCCAAAGGGGTCATCGTGTTGTGCTGGAAGGACGAAAGATTTCTCAACTGTATATCCTGTAGGGGCGCACAGAACTAGTGAAGAGACATTTGGACATGTTTAGTATAGTGGAAGAGATCCAGTTCGGCATAGTACCTTTTGTGTTGGGCTTTGAGTCATTTTCTAGGGGAGGACTCATGGAACATAGGTACCAGGTTTCAGATGTGTGTGATAATGTTTTCGGGGTGTTTGAAGGTGACAGTTC